GGACGTTTTGTTGTTATCAGTTATTTTTTTATATTCTTGCCTGAGGGCTTTAATTTTTATGCGGCACTGGTCGCCAGTGCGGTGAAAACCTTCCGACCGCATCTTCTCACCTATTCTGAGAAAAACCGCTTTATTCCTCCTTGTTCCTTCTAACTGGGCTTGGATGTTCCCGTCAGCCCAAATTGTCATCAGGGCTGAGGTTTCATCGTCGCCCCAGTTCACCCCCCTGTTTCCGTTTTTTTCACATGTGTTTGTAGAAATGTTGCTGTGACCCGCCATGTTTTCAAGCGCAAAATACCCAGGATGCATTTGCAAGTACCCGTATGGACTCTTCCAGCGCGTAGCGAGGCCACTCCCCTGCAAGCGAGCATTTGCTCTGGAGTAAATTTACGCCAGTTGCGTTCACACGCGCACATTTGCTTCGGTGCTGCTTCGCAAACGAGCATTTGCTTCGGAGGAAATTTTTAAACCACCTCCCTGAGGTGGATCAAATTTAATGCGCACTAGGCTGTTGAGCGGCGCTACGTCGAAGTAAATTTGCACGTGTGAACGCTCCACTGGCGTAGAGTCGGTGCAGAGTCGGAGTAAATCTTGCCGTGTGAACAGGGCTATTGCTGGCTGATGAGCTGATCATTTGCGGCAGGTGTGTTGCAGCGGGCGGGGGGGCGGCAAAAACAGGCAGGACGGTGGCCCTCGAGCACCGAGGCTGGACATGCCCGCTTTAGACTAAGAACAGGCTCAAATTATGGAATCACCAAAGAAAAACAACCAAAGAGGAGTTCGTATTTTTATTATTATTTTTTTTTTGCACCACTTGTGGCTTTTATAACGGCTGGCAGACTCAGAGGCTAAACGTCAGACGTCACCGCCCTTTTGGAGCAACTTCCTGGCCGAGGGCCCCCGACCAGCGTGGTCCGCACTTCGGAAAGAACGCATTTGTTCACGGGACCTTGAATCGTGTTCTTCTTGGGTGTCATCCTTCAACACGACTGATCTTCGTTGACGTGGAGACAATCGATGGTCCGAATGATTTCTCACAATCATTTGGAGGCGAAGATGCATATTTCTCCAGCACGCTGTCAGCGTTTGCATTTTCACCTGCTGAATTGTACAAAGGTCCTCGAAAGTCCCAATGTCGCGTCCCATCGTTATTTTCGAACAGGACCGCGGGCGATGTCACCGTGGCGGTAAAAAGCCCCAGTCTGCATTGAATTAATTTGACTGCGACGCTCTCCATTGCTTTTGCCAGATCAGCGTGGCAGGTCGGAGCCCGTCACGGACCCTTTTCTTCAACTTCAGCACTTGCGTTCCCGTTCTTTTTTGGTCTCTTTACTGCAGCTAGCCAAACGCGTGGCGGTCAGCCTGCAAGAGGTTGGAAAGCGCATGGGTAAGAATGCGACGATCCGTTCTCTCTGACAAGGTCGATTTCCAAGCGCGACTGTCTGAGTTGTGAGAAGCGTGAACAATGAAATGAAAGCAAAGTGCGCCGATCAGACGCTTTGACTCAGATGCTCGTGTTTTTCAAACGTCGCGAAAAGTCCAAACGGCAATAATAAGAATAGCTGTGATTATGCTTGTATTTTTCTCTCATGAAGAAATGCTTGCATTCATCCATCCATCCATCCGCAGGGGCCACGTCGCACGCCCATTTTTTTTTTCTCAGAGGGCCATGATGAGGCTTAATGAGTCAATGCATTTATTCAATCTGGCCACCGCACAAAATGAGTCGAGAGGAAACATCAGTTATGAATTCAACATGAAAACAAACAAACCAACAACCCACCCCCCGCCCCCCAAAAAAAAAAAGGTTGCTTTAATACTGACTACTGGGACTCACACGACCCACAACGCGTCGGAAAGAACAACTCTTCATTGGTCACAGTCAACTGGTGGAGCAGAGCGAGACGCAACGGGAGCAGGATAGCAAGCGCGGAACGGCTTCTCCTCATTTTGGGACGTCTCGGATCACAATTCGGGACGTAGCGACGGAACACGGATGTTGCCGCGGAACTAGAAAAAGACAACGAGGAAGACAAAAGACTTTCAAAAGAGCGTTGAACAAGTCGTCGGAAAAAAAAGGGATTTCCATTGGGTCTTTGTTGCGGTGAACGGGAGCCTTCGCAGTTTGGGCAAACGCTTCTCTCGGAGGCAACGACGTCGACGCGTTTCCTTTTTGCGAGGCGTTCGGCGGCGGGGGCCAGCCGGGCGCTCCTTCGGGCCGAGGCCGCCGTCGGAGGGAGGCGACGGGCACGCGACGGGCAGACGGCTCGGAGCTCCGACGAAGGAAGAAACGCGGACGCCGACGTCGCCAAGGGATCCCCCCCTCGGCCGGATGGCGCCGCCGTATTATTGCGCTCGTTTGAGAAGAAGTCCAACGCGAGTAGGACGTCGGCGACAGAGAGTGGACCGAAGTCCACCGCGACCGCGCGGGATGAATATTGCTTGCTTGAAGCGGTAGCGTGGGTTGCTCCGTCCGTCTTCACGGGCGCACTTGCCTCCACTTCAAGCGCGGGTGGGAGGAAGTCGCCTCCAGCCGGTCCGGAATGCCGCCCGCCGCTCGCCTCTTGACTGCGACTCGTGAGAGGGAGCGCACAACTCCTCCTCTGGCATCCCTTCAGCGGCTCCCGACACATTTTCGACTTCTTTTCAAGATCCTCTTATTTGTTTTCAAATCTGGAAATGGCCTGGCGCCACCTGACCTCTCCGAGCTCATCTGCCCACCCCCACACGCCCGCCCCCACGCGCCTCAAGTCAAGAACTAAGCGCAGGCTCAGGGGGGACGGAGCCTTTTCCGTCGCCGGTCCTTCTCTCTGCAACGAGCTCCCGCCGAACGTCGGGCAAGCCCCCTCGCTGGCCACCTTTCAAAGCCGCCTCAAAACTCGCTCGTCTTCTTTGGCATTTGACTCGGTCTGACCCAAATGAGGATCTTCGTTCTTTGTGACCGATTTGTCGCTTCGCCGTTGTCTGCGTTAGTTGGCGCTTTGTGTGCAGCGATGGCCGTTTGAAAGGGCTCCAGAAATCCACTTGAGTTGAGTCAGAAGTCGCGAGTGACCGAGGCGAAAAGAAAGCAGGCCGAGCGGCCTCCTCGCCACATTTCAAGCGAGTCGGGCCCCGGCTCGGCTTCAACGAGCTCGACGCTAAAGCTCCGTCGCAGCAAATAAGCGAGCGGTCCCTCCGCCCATCTGTCGCTCGTCACTCGGCCGCGCCGACGCGTCGGCGTCGGTTGCGACGGCTCCGAAGCCGGTCCGGCCTATTCCGCGACCGGCGCCTCAACGAAACCGTTGGCCGACGTGACGGCGAGTTCCTCTTTCACCGGCCGGCGCCGAGCCAAACCGGGAGGGTAACGTCGCCCAATTTGTTTTGAAGTGAGACGTCGTCGCGTTTCCCGACTTTATTGCTTTGTTCTCTTCTCGATGAAGCAAAGAATTCAGGTGAAGTTGGAGCGGAAAGAAAGTTGCAACCTTCATTGCCCGTCTGCTTGACGGCGATGAAGGAAGCGAGGCGTCAGATAGTCGGCGGGTCTTTTAGCTTTTGGCATGGCAGGCCCGCGTGTCGTCATTTGAGCTTTTCCCCCCCCGGAGCAAAATCACCAAAGTGGAACCGAAGAACGGTCGGCGTTCGTGCCTGCGTCATCGGAGGGCCTCATCGGAACACGGCGGGCGGCGGCTCGCCGAGCTCAAGGGCGCTTTTGTCTCAAGAACAAAACCAAGGGCCCAAGGGCCCAAGGGCCCGCTCTCACGCAAATGAACATTTTCAAACGTGACCGCGGCAGACCCGCCCGGGGGCGCGGCTCCAGCCTCGGGCGAAAAGTAGAGTCCGGTGTCAGTTTTGGTGGCAAAACGGGCGACTCGGCTCAAGCGACGTGAGCGGCGTCCCCCACCTGCGCTTGAAGCCCCGTCGCTCTTTTTTCTCTCTTGCGGCCTCCTGGACAAGAGTTTGACCAGAGTCGCCAAAGCGGGCCGGCGCCCGCGGCCGGGCTACGAGGCGTGCTTGCTGGAGCCGCTGCGACCCAGGCTGGCGCTGCTGGAGCGGCGGGAGAGGACCGGCGTGGCGGCGGCG